GTAGATCAGAGACATATTTATAGTAATTATGCAGGCAAATTTGCCTGCAAATCTCTACCAATTAAGGGATAGTATTGTAATATTTTAGTGCTTTCTGGTGGAATACTAAAACCTATCCTGGAAATTTAAATATTACCTGGAAAATTTAAAACTATCTGAGAAAAATTAAAACTATCCAAATCCAAAGTCAAAGTATACTTAGATATCTTGTTAAATTGAAAGAAATTTGCACAAAAGAGTACACTTGAAGTCTCTGCTTTAGTAGCAACTTGGAAAGTCTTGTCAAATTGAAAAAAAATTGTATAAAAGGATTACTTTAAACCTCTGCTTTCATAGCAATCAGAGCTTGCAGCTTACTGCAAACCTTAACTAAGTGTTAAATGCAAATTACCCATAAGCCAAAGTATAGATATAAATAATTTCAAATTTAAACTAAATATTAAATAATTAATATTTGCTATTTTCTATATATATAGAGCATATCAAATATATTTAGAACAGATTAAAGCCCATAAAACTAGTTATCCTTTATCTTTTGCTTTTGAAGTTATCCAACTTAATAATCCAGATCTATCTTGTCACAAGTATTACAGTCTGATATTTTTCTATATTTGGTATTACCAAATTAAGAAATGATCTGTGATGATCGTTATTCTAGAAATATTATTAATATTCAGTAATACAAAAATCTTATTGGCTATAAATTTACTATATAAACTTTAACACTAAACTTTAAATCATGATCAAAGCAAATAAAAAGAGTATTTGAACTTACTTGAAAGTATATGAGTGCCACCAAGAGAAAACCTGTTATCAGACTTTCATATAATAGCTTTTTCATAAATAGTTAATTGTATACAAAATATATTTGAAAGTTCAATGACAAGTTTTCTCTTAGTGATACTCATATATAGTACTACTATCTATATCAGCAACTAAATCAAAACAGAATAGTTAATTTCATAATACAAGAAATTCAATAATCAGCTAAAGCACAAGGAAGAATGTACAGTATTGGCATTGGAATCAGAATTGAATAGACAAACAAAAACACTGAAAACCAGCAAACCTTAAACAGTAAATAGAGACTATGCTAAGTCATGTATAGCCTTCTTAAATGTACTCTTATTGTTAATACATTGATCTGGAAATCTAAGGTATAAAATTTTATAATTCATGTTGGAAGAAAGAAACAAACTTATTTCAATTTCTTTTTTTTTTGCATTTTAAAATCCATATTGTTGAATTAATCAATTTTTTTTACCAAAGATTTTTAAGATAAGATTTCAGATATCTGTTTTAAGTTATGTATGTTTGTTATTTAATTTAGTTTATATATATTAATATAATATTTAACAAAATTTCTGATAGATCGTATAGTTTAGATATTGTTACCAAAAATAGTTAAGAGTTAAAAGGATAAATATGAGCATTATATAAGAACCCTTTACTAAAACAAAAAAAGATAAATACAAACATCATGTAAGAACCTTTTACTAAAAGAAAAAAACTAATATACTGATGCAACAATGATAGCTAATTTAAAAAATAGTCAAGCTTTCATATTAATAATTTTTTATTTAGTATTGAGATGTTGTAAATATTTTTGTGATATTAGTTAGTAATAAAAATCAATCAAGTTAGAAATATAATGAAACTTTAAAATGAAGAATCTAGATTTTTTTTTAATCTATTTTATTATCACTAGTCAAATCTCGAAGTTGTTGTAAAATAATTAATAATTCTTCTTTTTTTTTTGCTTTTAAACTTTTAAATTGTGGCCGATTAATCTTATTTAGAAAACCAATTAATGATTCAATTACTAATATCAATTCTTCTTTTTTTATTGAATTTTCTGCTAATTGTATTTGTTCTTCATCAACAGTAATAGAAATAGGTTGAGTAATTAATGTTTTCTTTGAATTTAATTTTTTTTTGATATAGTCTTTGTGTCGAGTTCTAGCTATAATACTAAATGTTTTTATTTCTTTATTTAATTTATTATACCCATCTAAACTCTCAAAGGAGCGATTTTTTTCATTTGGATTTAGGAATCTAGTTTTTCTTAATTGGATTCAAAACCATTGTGATTCTATTTCATAATCTGAACATGTTCATAGACCAGTACTTTTATTATCAGTATATCTGATCATAGCAAATAATCTTTTTCACAACTATTAAATAGATATAAAAATTGTTTATGAAAAAATAGCAATAATTAGAGTGCTGGTATCAATTACATAATTTTTTTTAGAAGTGGGATTAAAAAAAAATTTTTTTAATAATATCAAATTTATATATTAGAAAAAGAAGGTAAGCCTCTATATAATAAAAATTATGTAATTAATGTCAACACCATTAAGAGCATTAAATTTATTTATTTTACCTTTATGAATTTTATATAATTTTTTGCTATCATATTCTAATGTTTTTGAGTTGGTACAGATTGAGTGAGCATTTTTAGCATTTTATTTATTTACTCAAATATAGCATCTAATCCTTGATATTGATTAGACCATCCTGATCATGATACAGCTAAATTTAACTCAAATAATTTTTGAATTTTAAAGTGAAGTCATATTAGTTATTATTTATTAGCTACCTCGATTTCTTGATAAATAAGATATCTTCTGGCAAACCAAATTGGTGCAAATACTCTCTGCAAGCTGCTAATTTAAGTAAGGGTTGATTAGATCTAATTCCATCACAAAAGTTTATTATAGCTTGTAAATACAAAAATATCTAAAAAAAAATTTAATTTTTTTAAATAGAATATTTATTAGCAAAGATCTAAAATATTTATAATTATGAATTATTAATATACTTGTTTATATTTTAATTTGTATAGTTCATCTTTTTGATTTTTAGCCCAGTTAAAATATCCATTAACAGTTGAATTAAAATTGAAAACAATATAAGGCCAAACTAATTTCATAGCCATCATATATCGATAAATATTACAAACTGAATTCTATACTTTGTAATGATCAGCATATTTTTTAAAATATCCTAACTGATTTTTAGTTTTGTATTCTTAATATTGTGCAAAGTATTTTAGATCAATAGCCCTAGATTTTATAATATTAATATAAATTATAAATTAATTTAAACCAATTTTAAACTGATGATAAAAAAGTGCCTCTTAGCAACCCGTATAAGGATTAAAAAAAAAAACTGTTGATATATTAATTTAACTTTACAAAAGATTTTAGCATGTTCATTTTCTCATATAATGGGCCAGGTATCAAAAGAATTTCTGAATAATTATTTTTAAACTTCTGTGCATATAGTAAGGAATTCTGTTACAAACTACTGCAATTCATTTCTGCTCACTTTTGTTAATTCTACTAATTTCCTTAATATGATCTAAAACTTTTTGAACATTATAGATAGAATTTGGATTGATTGGTAAAGAATCTGGAACAAGAATATTAGATGTATTAACATTATTTTGAGATTCATATATCTGGGTTATACTAAGTAGATTAATTAAATTTGTAAAACTTTTAAAAATACTTGTTTTAGGATAATAAGTTTTAAATACTAAAGGTTTGGGTATATTCTTTTTCTTAGATATTTTTTGTTTAGTTTCTTGTTGGATTTCAGTAGTGTAGAAAGTTTTGTATTATATTGAGGACATTTACATTTAGAATTTTCAATATCATCTTTACTATATTTGCGGCACTATTTTTTTTTTATCTATTTTTATATTTTATTTTCAATTAAACTATCAATAATATTTATATTTTCACTTTTTTCAATACATGCCTCAGCTAAGATAACCGAAAGATATTTACAAAGTTGTTGATCAATTAATACTTGCATTTTAGAAGTAATGTTAAACAACTGTTCAATTTGCATTGTATTAAGAGTCTCATACATCAGCAAATTTTAAAACCACAATATTGCGCAAGAATTGCGATTGACGCGCAATATTGCGAAAGATTTTAAA